CAGGGTGTGGAGAAAAAGGAACTCTTGTGCACTGTTGGGGAGTGCAAACTGGTCCAACCACTATGGAGAGCTGTGTGGAGATTTCTGGACCTACTAAACATAGAGCTTCCATATGATCCAGCAATTCCACTCCTAGGTATTTACCCAAAGGACACAGAAACATCAATTCCAAAGAGCACCTGCACTCCTATGTTTATAGCAGCACTGTTTACAATAGCTAAGCTTTGGAAACAACCCAAATGCCCAAAAATAGATGACTGGATCAAGAAGATGTGGTACATATATACCATGGAATATTACTCAGCATTCAAAAAAGATAAAACACATGCAATTTGCAGCAACATGGATGCACTGGAAGGGATCCATGCTCAGCGAAATAAGCCAAAAGGAAAAAAGAAAAAATACCGGATGGTCTCACTCATAGCAGGAATCTAGAAAACTTAAATAAGGGACCAGGAAAATGAATATAAGAAAGTGAAAATCAAAATCAACAAAAAACTATGAACCAGAGACACTTTTGGGGGGGGGGGCGGGAGGGAAGGATGGGGTCAGAATGGGCATTTGCAATTGTATGGGGGAATATAAAAATAAAATTTAATATTAAAAAAAAGAGACAATGAATAATAGGAATACAAGGAATATCAGAGTGTCATCCCATCACACATTCACACTGAATTATTGTTAAGATGATTATATTAAAGTAAGCATTGCTAGGAAGGTTCTAGAAAGTAAGGAGCTTATATATTCTTTCCCAGATTTATCATATCCATTAAAGTACGCATAACTCATATATAGTATTTCCTATTTTAGAAGTAAATAAGAGTGACTGGTTCTCTTACCCATTCAAAACAGGTAACTTACGGGCTTTCTATTTTTCTGTGTAATCTACAATACATTTTCAGAACCTAAGGGAACTCACCAGAGCATATTCAGTAATATCTTCCCTCAACAGAAAAAGAAGCTGTCAGTGCGAGCAGCTGACATTTAGCTCAAAATTCTGTCTCTGAATTCAGTCACATTCAGAAAAATCTGAACAGTGGAGAAAAAATAAGTCCATTTCAACCCTTCCTTGGACTCTGGAGGTTAGACTATGAAATCTCTTTGGCACAAGCTAGGTGTCTTGATGCTGTGGGTATTTGGTGTTCTCAGTAACTAAATGTCTTGGGACCAAAACTTGCAATTATATTTATTGTTCCTACAGAGTAATTTTTCGTTATTTGATTTAATGATGACACCTACTTACCTAAAATTTTGACTTACTACAAAATATACTCATAATAGATTAAAAACCTGAAGGTAAAACCCTAAAACATGGGGGAAATCACAGACATATCCAACCACTATGGAAAGCTCTGCGAAAGTTCCTCAAACTACTAAAAATGGAGATAACAGATGACCCAGCAACTCCACTCTCATGATCCTACCCAAAGGACACAAAAACAGTAATTCAAAAGAATACCTGCACACCTATGTTTATTGCAGTACTACATATAATAAGTAAGATATGGAAACAATCCAAATGCCCAAAAATAGATGACTGGATCAAGGAGATGTGGTACATATACACAATGGAATACTATTCAGCAATGAAAAAGATAAACTTATGCCATTCACAGCAACATGGATGGAGTTAGAAAGGATTATGCTTAGTGAAATAAGACAAAAGGAATGAGAAAAATATAGGATGGTTTCACTTTAGGAGGAATATAGGGAAACCAAATAAGGGATCAGGTGAAAAAAAATAATAATTAAAAAAATTAGCAGGCAACTATAAATTGGAGACATTCTGCAAGGGAAGGGGAGGTAGAGGAATTAAAACAGGGGAGAGAAGAGCACAAAGGAGTATGGTGATGGTTCACAGGTAAACTGGTGGTGGAAATTTCACATGGATAGTACCTGAAAGGAGAAAGCATACAAGTATACATTGCAGAAAAATGAGCAATGATGTTAAAAAAAAAAAGAAGAAGAAATAAAAAAAAAAACTCACAGACCATCAACTCACTGACATCTACCTTAGTGAGAACTTAAAACCATACAATACATAGGAGAACAGAGCCAATAGGTTTAGAGATGACTCTCTTTCTGCTCAGTGAAAGAAACCATCTTTAGGAGAAAAAGGCAACCTAATGAACGGGAAAGGATATTTACAAACCATAGATCAGACAAGGGGTTAATATCTGAAGCATATACTCAACTAGTACAATTCAACATTATAAAATCCTATAAAAAAATGGCCAGAGGTTCTGAACAGGTTCTTCTCCAAACAAGACAGAACCCAAGAGTCTCTTAATGTGGAATAAACACATCAAAGTCACATGACAGGTTATCTTACACTTGTGAGAATGGCTATTATCTGTGATTTCTGATGTGGAAAGCAACTCTCATCCGTTATAAGTCATTATTGTAAGGGTCAGTGAATAGTATGAACATAAGGACTATCAGAAAGTATCATCCCATCACACATTCACACTGAATTACATCTGTGATGACATTGCTAGGGAGGTGGTAATTACACTCCATAAAATAATTCTGGAATGGGAGGAGTTTAAAATATTCTCTTCCAGATTTCTAATATCCATTAAAATAATCAAGGCACATACATGTTATTTCATATTTTACCATTCAAATGGTAATGGCTGGTTCTTTCACCCACTCAAATCAGTAACTTATGTACTTTCCATTATTCTGCATAACCTATCTTTTTAGAATCTAAGGAAACTCACAAGAGTCAGTTCAAGAGCTTCTTTCCTCAACAGAAGGAGAGGCTGGCAGTGTGAGTAGCTGACATTTAGCTCAAAGTCCTGATCTCTAAAATAAGTCACATTCAGAGAAATCTGAGCTATGGAGGAAAAATAAGTCCATTAAAAACCCTTCTTAGGGGCCTCCCCTGGTGGCGCAGCTGTTGAGCGCTGGGCCGCGAAGCTGCCCGCAGCCTCTGCTACAGACCTCTCCTGCCGCGCCCACTGCTCCCCTCAGCACTGTATTTTGTCAGTCTGCTTGTTCTGTTCCCCGCTCTGGCTCGGGTGAATTCTCTCACCCTCCTGCACTTCTGACTGTACCCAGTGCTTGTATAAATAAATAAATAAATAAATAAATAAATAAATAAATAAATAAATCTTAAAAAAAAAAAACACAAACCTTCTTAGGCCACTAGATTTTAGGCTATTAAACCTCTTTGGCACTTCTCATTTTTTAGGTGCTGTGGGTATTTGGTGTTCATGGTAAATACCTTGGGACCAAAACTTGTAATTATATTGAGTGCTTCTGCAGAGTATTTTTATGCTGAGTTAATTTAGTAAGCATATATAGTTAGAGTTTGTCTTTTGTGCTTATTGGATCAAATTATTGAAAAATATAATGTGTGTTAGATATAAAAATACCAAAAAATAACTTTATTCTATTCTATTAAATGAATTAACAAGTCATTGATTCTTTTATTATTATTTTAATTTTATATATTTTTACATCATTTCTTTCATTTTTGCACAATATATGCATTTTCATCTTGTCTATAGTACCCATACAATTCCCACCCACCTTGTTTTGATCCTACTCCCTCCCCCCCCACCCCAGTGTGTCTCTGGTTTATAATTGCTTGTTTATTTTGATTTTTACTTTATTATAATTAGTCTTTTTCCTGGTCCCTTATTTAAGTGTTCTAAATTCCTGCTATGAGTGAGACCATCAGGTATTTTTTATTTGATTTTTAACTAGTAATATTATGTTTAACAAACATCCTCATTATCTAAAAAGGAGAGTTTTATACTTTTCATGTTTTCTGTTTGTAATAAGCATCATTTCAGTTTTCTCCTGTAGTGTGCAATGTGTTCTGTTACTTCATAGAATCTTTTTTTGAAGATTTATTTATTTATGAATACAAAAGCTGGGGTACAGGCCAGAGATGTGGGGGGTGAGAGGATTCACCAGAGACAGACTGGAGAACAGAACGGGCAGATTGATTAAAGTACACTGCTGAAGGGAGCAGCCGGCGAGTCAGGAGAGGTCTGCTGCACCATGTGGGTTGCTCCCTGGCCGGCCAGGGATCGAACTCATGCTGCAGAGGCTTCAGATTGCTTCATAGTGTGGTGCTTATCCCCTTGCGCCACCAGGGAGGTTCTTGACAGGGTAGTCTATTAGTGTGATAAAATCAATTTTATTTCCTGTCTTTAACTCATGATTTTGTGTCATACTGACAATCTATCAACAAGTTCAAATTCACACAGATTTACCCTTATCTTGTCCACTATTTTACAGTTTTAGCCCTTACAATTTGATCTTTAATCCATTTTGTGATCATTTTTGTAACACATGTGAGTAAGTACATTATTTCATTATAACACATTTGGCTATTCAGTTTTCATACCATGTACAAATCTAAATAGTGCATCGCCCACAAACAGTATGAAGATGGATTTCTTAAAAATTAATTCTAGGGCCTCCCCCTCTGGCACAGGCAGTTGAGCACAGCACTGTGAAGCTTTCAGCAACCTCTGCAGGGCCGGGTCAATCCCAGCCTGCTGGCAAGAATCCCACATGACTGGCAGACCTCTCCTGTCTCACCCGCTGCTCCCCTCAGCAGTGTATTTCAGTCAGTCTGTCTGTTCTGTTCCCGGCTCTGTCTCTGGTGACTCCTCTCACCCTCCCCCCACATCTGGCCTATACCCCGGTTCTTGTATGCATAAATAAATAAATATTTAAAAAATTAATTCTAATAATAAATTTTAGCCACATTAATACATTCATATTGCTATTAACAAGATGATTATATTATTCTGCAAATTACTTTTGGTTTTCAAAATGTCATGCTGACCATCCACTCCTCCATTACTGCATACTTTTTTGAATTTCAGTGAATATTTTCTAAGGCAGCATTTTAAATATGTGACGACTTTTGTACTTTTTTGATTATTTTCTTAGTGATTTCTTTCTTTCTTTTTAGTCACATTTCTGACACTGAATACAGGGTACCTGTTTTTCGCAACACTTCCACAGCATTTAAGTCAGACATAGAACCAGGCCGCCAGATTACCATTCCCTCCCATGAGAATGGCTCTACCAGACACCACCTGAATGTCGAGATCGTTACATGACTGATCTATGCACTATTATGGGGGTTCCACTCCTTCCCTTCAAAAATATTCTAGAGGGCCTCCCCAGTGGCGCAGCGGTTGAGCGCTGGGTTGCGAAGCTGCCCGCAGCCTCCACGGCGCCGGTTCGATCCCCGGCTGCTCCCCGGCCACTGGAGGAGGGTCCCACATGGCGCGCAGACCTCTCCTGCAGCCCACTGCTCCCCTCAGCAGTGTACTTCGGTCCTTCTGCCTGCTCTGCTCCCCACTCTGGCTCTGGTGAATTCTCTCACCCTCCCGCGCTTCTGACTGTACCCAGTGCATGTATAAAAAAACAAACAAACAAGCAAACAAATAAATAAATAAATAAATAAATAATAAATAAATAAATAACATGCCTCTTAAAAAAAAAAATATTCTAGAGTAGTTCACAGAACTCAGAATGGTCTATTTCTAACTCTTAGTGATTTGTTAGAAAAAATCCAAATCAGAAATATAGACAGCTGCAGGACAAGATTGGGGAAGGAAAGTAGAAATTCCTCGCCTTCCTTCTCACACATCTTCCCAACACATCTTTGGGTTCCACAACCCAGAACTCTCCGAATCTATGCTGTTTAAGGTTCATTGGTAGCCACATTACATAGACAAGATTGTTTAAACTATTGGTTATTGGCAATTATCTCACCTTGAATTTCCTTCTCCTCTTCAGAGGTCAGAGGTAGGAATGAATGATTCACATTCTAATCACTTGGTTGTCCTCTGGCATACAACCACCATCTTGAATTTACATAAGTGCCCACATTGAGTGATATTATCAACATAATGAGTCATATTATCAATGTAAAGTGTGATGTGTTGAAAAGGACATCTGAAGAACAAGATGCTTTTCCCCTTCTATCACTCAGGTAATGACATGGATTTGAGCAAGCTGAGACAGGAACAGAGGACAAAAACCAAGTATGTATTTCTAATTATGTGACATTATCACAGACTGATGATGGGTTTACCATATAAACATTTATGTTTCTTAACACAAAGACAATTTCACATTTACGCTAACTTCATTTGTGATACATCTGTGTGTGTTCAATCAATACTGAAACTTCAGCAATATATTATTATACATTGTCAATTTACATAACGATGTATCTTTTGATGAACTGAGAAATGAAAGGAGAGAATGCAGCATGTATAGCTTTTGTTATAGTCATCTTACTTGTCATTTATGTTATTTTACTTTGTTCCTGTTGATTTAATTTCCCGTTATTTCCCTAGCCTCATATACTCCGTTTCCACTCATCCTCTGAGAGCTATCATTAGCAAAGATATTGCTTTTCCATGTGTTCTAAAGCTGGAAACACATTATATACCTTTATTTTGATAGAACTGCTTCTTGATGCAGTTAAAGGAGTAAAGAAGAAATATCCACTTATATTAACGGTTTCTAATGTCAAAACCTGAGTAAACCAAGCATGTGTTGAGGAATGCAATCAAAACACAATTATAACTTGTGTCCTACACAACTATTGGTTTATTTGAAAAAGAAATCTCAAAATTACAGAACAGTTCCAAGTTTAGTACACAGAACTTTTTTCCTTTCCATCTTTCCCCGCCACCAACTTTTGTGTCCCTTGGCCTATCCCCTCCCCACTCTCTCTTTAACCTCAGACCCCTCAAGGTATTTGTTGATGTCCAGGAATTTTTAAAGAGTTTTATTTTGTGCAATTATCTCTTATATGAATATCCAATATCTGTTTTTATATTTCTGATTGGTATTACTGTGTGTATTTTTTTTTTTCAAAATCCCTCCATTTTGTTGGAAATTACTGCAATTCATTCTTTTGAGAATATGTTATGTTAACCTGATGGGATTTTCATTATAAGTCACCAACCCTTTTGCCTAGTCAATCTTATTATTGTTTCTTAGTCCTGAACTCTTGATACTTTCATGAATATGTACTTAATGTAGTTCTCATTACATTTAGTTAATCAGGTGTTCCTTAAGCTTTATGAACAGATATATTTACTTCCCTTCCCAGGTATATGAAATTTTCCTCTATAGTTTATAAATGTGTTCCCTTCTTTTCTCTCTGTCTTCCATTCTTGAATACACTATATCCTGATGTTGCCTATCCCAACAGACAGATATCTCCCCAAGGTTTCTGAATTCAAGCATTTTAACATGGTTTACATGGTCATCTTACCGAAAGTTATGCACATATTCAATTTAATTCCTATCAAAAATTTAAGGCATTTTTCACAGAAATTGAACAAACAAAATTTGTACAGAACCACAGCATCCAAGGCAATACTAAGAAGGAAGAGTAAAAATGGAGGCACCACCTCCCTGAATGCAAATAATATGATGCTACAATAACAACAGGCACATGAATCCAAGGAGCAGCATAAAGAGCTCATAAATATGTGCACACTTATAGCACCAGACAAAGAGCCAAGACATTAAAATAAAATACCAAATTGTCTTCCATAAGTGGTGTTGGTAAAACTGAACAACCACATGCAAAATAATTTCATTACACCAGGGTATCACCCCATACACAAAACTGTATTCAAACCCAAGAGTGTTGCACAACCAAAAAATAAAATCTGCATTCAACAAAAGAGGCCAGCTTTTCTTCTTTGGAATACCTTTCGTAGAGCAACCTTTATGGCTTTATTTCTTAGGCTATAGATCATTGGATTGAGTGTTGGGGGCACAACTGTGTACATAATAGTGAGAAAAATGTCCAATGCACTTGGAGAGTCAGAAGGTGGCTTGAAAAACTCAAAGGAAGCTGTTGAAACAAATAATATGATCACGACAAGATGAGGAAGGCAAGTGGAAAAGGCTTGAGCTCTGCCCTCAGCAGATGGCATCCTCAGCACACTAGAGAATATCTGGATGTAGGACAGTCCAATACAGGTGACACAAAGAAAGGTCATAAGAGCCACGAAGCCAGTGACTCCAATATCACTGTTATACTCATTAGAGCAAGAGAGTTTCAGGATCTGGGGGATGTCACAGAAGAACTGGTGAATCTGGTAACCACAGAAGTGCATGGAAAAAGTGGCAGCCATGTGCATGGATGCAGAAATAACCCACTGATCCAGACTCCTAGGACTCCATGGACACATTTGCTGTCATCCATGATGATTTCATAGTGCAGTGGAAGGCATATGGCCACGTAGCGGTCATAAGACATCACTGTGAGCATGGGCATTTCAGCCGAAATACAGAAAATGACAGCAAAACTCTGCACTATGCATTCCCCGAGGGAAATATAGCCACTATGCATGAATGAGTTGTAAATGGACCTTGGCACAGTCACAGAAATGTAGCACAGATCCAGGAAGGAGAGATGTTTCAGGAAGAAATACATGGGTGAGTGGAGGCTACTGTCCATGGAAGTTGCGGTGATAATGAGGATATTGCCAGTTACTGCCACCACATATAAGACTAAGAACAGAGAAGCAAGTGTGATTTCCTGCTCAGGCTTGACAGAAAATCCCATCAGAAGAAACCCACTCATAGTGAAATTAGCCATAGTCCTGCTTAATTTACCAGTGATGTTTGCTGCAAATCAAGATGGGAAACATTTGAAATGGAATGAATCACAGGTGCTCTGTGTATGGAGACTACACATGAGGGGGGACTAAAGCACTGTTCAAAAATTAACAATAATATAAGAAAATAAATAAATATTAAAATTAAGATGAGTGCAACAGCAAAATTTTGACAAATCCTAAAACTATAAGACCTCTCAGAAAGAAAAAGAAAAATACCAGATGGTCTCACTCATAGCAGGAATCTAGAAAACTTAAATAAGGGACCAGGAAAATGAATAACTATAAGAAAGTGAAAATCAAAATCAACAAAAATCTATGAACCAGAGATACTTTTTGGGGGGTGAGGGGCAGGAGGGGAGGGATTGGGGTCAGAATGGGGGGTTGCAATTGTATGGAGAATATAAATATAAAATTTATTATTTAAAAAAAAACTGTAAGACCTCTCTGTTGGCACATGGGGTTAAGATGTAGCACTATGAAGCTATCCACAGGGCAGCATGAGTTTGATCACACACCACTGGCGTGACCCACATGGCAAGCAGACCTGCCCGGACTCACCCGATGCTTCCTTCAGCAGTGTACTTTGTCAGTCTGCCTGTTCTGCTCTCCGTTTTGGCTCTGGTGAATTCTCTCACCCTCCCCCACTTCTGACTGTACCCCAGTGCTTGCATAAATAAATAAATAAATCTTAAAAAAATAAATAAATATTTTTTTTTAAAAGACAAAAAGTGTGTCTCTTATTATACTCTTTCAATCTTTATCTATATTTGTTTTGATCCTTATTTTGTGCAGCTAAAAAGTGTAGTTATTTTGCCAGTACTAAAATATTTGATTCATTTTCAATTTAAAATTTCCCTATCATGATTCAACAATTTATCTGTGATTTTTGATATGGAAAACATCTCACATCTCTGTTAAGTCATTATTATAAGAGTCAATGTATAATATGAACAGAAGGAAAATTCACACTGAATTTCTTCTATAACATTATAGAAAGAAAAGCAACATTAGGGAGGAAGTAATAACATGCCATAAAATGATTCCAGCATGTAAGAGTTTACAGTGTTCTCTCCCAGATTCCTAATTTCCACTAAAATAACCATAGCTCATCCATATTATTGCATGTTTTACAAGTTGAATGATAGTAACTGGTTCCCTCACTCACTTAAAATAAGTAATTTATGGGTTTTCCACTATTCTGTATATCTATGTTTTATGAAACTCACCATAGCATATTCAAGAACATATTTCTTCCATTGAAGGAGAAGCTGTCAGTATGAGCTGTTGACAGCCCAAAATCTTGATCTCTACAAATCAGTCACATTCAAAAAATCTGAACTATGGAGAAAAAAATCAGGCCATTTCAATCCTTTCTTTGGCCTCTGGAGATTCGGTTAGGAAATATTTTTAGCATAAGCAAAGTTTGTGGGTGCCCTGGGTATTTGGTGCTCTTATAAATGCCCTGGAGCCAGACTGTGCAATTATATTTACTGTTCCCAAAGATGGTTTTTTCTGTTGAGTTGACTTAATGATCATACATAGTAATCTGGATTCAACTAATTAGTGTTTATTGGATCAAATTATTGAAAATAATGGTATAATGTGATAGTTCAAAAATACCCAAAAAAAGACTTCATTTAGTTCCATTAAATGAGTAAACAAGTCATTCATTTAATTTTAAATGCATAATATTACAAAATACAATAAACAACCCCATCTTCTGAAAGGTGTAAATACCATTTTATTTCTACTAATGAAGCAACAAATTACTCCCTAATCTTATGCCACTAAATGACAATCAAATTTCACTTTGAGTGGGGAAGTAAATAACCCATTATTTTTTGGCCAATTATATATTCACCTTTTTACTTTGTAGATACAACTTATTTGTATCTGACTCCAATATCACTGTTATACTCATTAGTTGTATAACAAACAACTTTCAAAAAGTGAAACATACATATTTTTATTAGTTTGCTCTCAAATGAATAAAGTGAAAAAGTACTGTGATGTAAAATATTCATCAACTGGAAAGGAATTGAGTTTCAGAGCAGGGCAATCCTGAAACAGAATGTGAGGGGTGGTTTTTATAGTGTTTTTGTGTACGCCTAGTTTGTTTATTGATTGATTGATTGATTATGTTCTTACATCAATATCCATTTTTTTACAATATTTGATTTCTCCCCTCAGTTGTAGTCCTCATCATTCTCCCACCATCACATCACCTGTCAACAATCACCATAGTCTCCTGTGCTCTTTCCTCCCCTTTTTCTACCCCCTTTACACCCCCACCCCTGCATTGCATCAAATCTACGGTTTTCCTGTGAATTTTGATTTTTCCTGATCTCTTCTCAGGTTTCCATATACCCCCCTTATAAGTGAGACCATCCAATATTTTTCTTTTTTCTTCTGACTTATTTTGCTTAGTATAATCCCTTCCAGCTCTATCCATGTTGCCACAAATGGCATGAGTTTATGTTTATTGATTGCTGAGTATATTCCATTTTGTGTATATGCCACAGCTGCTTGATCCATTTGTCTGTTTTAGGACATTTAGGTTATTTACATATCTTAGCTATTATAAATAGCACTGCAATGAAAATAGGAGTGGAGGTTTCCCTTTTGCACATTTATGAGGTTTTTTTTTTTTTTTTAAAGATTTATTTATACAAGCACTGGGCACAGTCAGAAACGCGGGAGGGTGAGAGAACTCACCAGAGCCAGAGCAGGGAACAGAACAGGCAGACTGATGAAACACACTGCTGAGGGGAGCAGTGGGCATGGCAGGAGAGGTCTGCGCACCATGTGGGACCCTCGCCGGTGGTCAGGGATCAAACCGGCACCGCAGAACCGGCACCGCAGAGTCTGCGGGCAGCCGCGCTCAACCCCTGCGCCACCAGGGGAGGCCCAAGGATTTGGGGGTTTTTTTGAGTGATTTATTCCTTTCTCTTTTTAGTCACACGTCTGATACTGAATACAGGGTACCTGTTTTTCTCAACACTTCCACAGCTTTTAAGTCAGACACAGAATTAGGCCCCCAGGTTACAATTCCCTCCCATGAGAATGCCTTTACAAGACACCACCTGAATGTCCAGGTCCTTTATGTATGATCTACAAGATACTATTGGGGCTTCCATGACTTCCCTTCAATAATATTCAAGAGTAGCTCACAGACTCAGAATGGTCTGTTTATAACTCCTTGTGATTTATTAGAAAAAATACAAATAAGAAATATAAAGAAATGTAGGACAAGATTGGGGAAAGGGAGCAGAATTTCCTCGCCTTTCTTGTCACACATCTTCCCAGAACCTCCTTGGGTTCCACAACCTGAAATTCTATGAATCTCTGCTGTTTAAGTTTCATTGGTGGCCACATTACATAGACAAGATTGTTTAAACTATTGGTTATTGGCAAGTAACTCATCCTTCGATTTCCCTCTCTTCTTCAGAGGTCACGTAGAACTGAATGGTTCACATTCTAATCACATGGTTGTTCTCTGGCAAACAAACACTATCCTGAATTTACATAAGTGGCCACAATGAGTCATATCATCAATGTAAAGTGTGATGTGTTGAAAGGACTTCTGAAGAACAAGATGTTCCTCCCACTCTATCACAGAGGGAATGACATGGGTTTGGCGTGCTGTGAAAGGAACAGAGGACAAAAACCAAGTACATATTTCTAATCATGTGACATTGTCAGATTGATGATGGATATACCATATACACATTTATGTTTCTAACATAGACAGTTTACATTTATGTTAACTGGATTTGTGATGCATCTGTGTATGTGTGTGTGTTCAATCAATATTGAAACTTCATCTACTTTTGGGCATTTTTGTTGTTTCTAGGTTTTATCTATTATAAATAGTGCTGCAATTATCATAGGGGTACAGGTGTTCTTTTGAATCAATGTGTTTGTGTCCTTTGGGTAGATCTCTAGGAGTGGAATTGCTTGGTCATGTAGTTGCTTCATTTTTAGTAGACTGAGGAACCTCCAGACAGATTTCCATAGTGGTTGGACCAGTTTGTATTCCTACCAGCAATGTAGGAGAGTTCCTTTTGCACCACATCCTGGCCAACCTGGTATCCTGCAGGGGCGGAGGAGGGAGATGATGAGAGGGAGGGAAGGAGGATCACAGGGGCCTAGGGTGATGCATAGGTGCATTGATGAAGGTAACTCTATGGGGACTACACCTGGAGGGGGGTGCGGAGAAGCAAATATTGTTTAAAAATGAACACTGATGCAAAAAACATATAAATAATTTTTTTAAATTGAAACTCCAGCAATATATTATTATACATATCAATTTATGTAATTATGTTATGGCAATTTCCCAGAGAAAGCAGTCTGCCCTCAGAGAGGTAGAGAGACAGAGACATTTATTTGTCACACTGGCAGGTCAGTGGGATAGCTCTCAAAAATCTGTACCCAGAATCCCAAGAATGGTCAGGTTTAATACAGTTTGTATGTGGAAATTTGTCACCCCATCCATCATAGACTTTCTTTACTGCTTGGGAAGGGCGTCAAGGTTGCCAGAGCTACCCATGTGGGCAAGCAGCACATCCCAGGAACTTTCCACTCCAGCAGCAGCAGACTCCAAGTAACAGACTGCAAGCAGCAGACTTAGGAACTTCCTGCTTTATTTATGGAAATTTTGATGAAATAAAAGAAGAAATGAGACCATGCAAACATGTATAGCTTTTGATATAGTCACCTTACTTCTCATTTATGGTACATTTAGTTAGTTCCTGTTGATTCAATTTACCATTATTTCCCTCGGCTCATAAACTCTGCTTCCACTCATCCTCCTAGTGCTATCACTAGCAAATACATTGCTTTTCCATGTGGTCTACAGCTGGCAACACATTATATACCTTTAGTTTTATAGAACTGCTTCTTGATGTAGTTAAAAGAGTAAAGAAGAAATATCCAGTTATATAGACATTTTCTAACATCAAAACCTGAGTTAAACAAGCATCTCTTGAGAAATGCAATCAAAATACAATTATAACTTGTGTCCTGCAGAACTATTGGATTATTTTAAAAAGAAATCTCAAAATTACGGAAAAGTTCCAAGGTTAGTACACTGAACTTTTTTCTTTTCCTTTGCCCCCCCCCACCACCCCTCACCCTTGTGTCCCCTGGCTTTTCATCTCCCCACTCTCTCTTTAGCCTCAGACCCTCAAGGTATTTGTTGATGTTCAGAAATTTTTAAAGAGTTTCATGTTGTATTATCTCTTATATGAATATCCAATATTTGTTTTTATAATTCTGATTAGTAGTATTGTATATAATTTTTTTCAAATTCCCTCCACTTGCATAGAAATTACTGCATTTCATTCTTTAGAGAATATGTAACGCTAACTGATGGGATTTTCTTTTTTGCCTAGTTAATCTTATTATTGTTTCTTTGTCCTGAACTCTTGATAGTTTCACGAATATGTACTTAATGTAGTTCTCATTACGTTTAGATAATCAGGTATTACTTTAGCTTTATGAACAGTTATATTTACTTTCTTTCTCAGGTTTATGAGGTCTTTCTCTATATTTTATAAATATGTTTTTTTCTTTTCTCTCTGGCTTACACATCTGGATATGCTATACCCTGATGTTACCTATCCCAATGGACAGATAGGTCCCCAAGGGTTTCTGGATTCAAGCATTCTAACAGTATTTACATGGCCATCTTACCTAAAGTCAGGTACACAATCAATGCAATTCTTATCAAAAATTAAATGGTGTTTTCACAGAAATTGAACAAATGAAATTTGTACAGAACCACAAATCCAAAGCAATACTAAGGGGGAAAAACAAAATGGAGATACCAAACAGTAAAATGCTGCAATAACAGCAGGCACATGAATCCAAGGAATAGCATAAAGAGCTGATAAATAAATGTGCACATATATCCCCAGCTAATTTAAGACAAGGAGCCTAGATCATTCAAAGAAAATAGCAAAATATCTTCAATAAATGGTGTTGGTAAAACTGAACAACCACTTGCAAAAGAATTTCATTATGTCAGGGAATCACCCCATACATAAAACTGTATTCAAAAAAAAAAAAAAAAGAGTGTTCCAACACCAAAAAAAAAATCTGCATTCAACAAAAGATGTCAGCTAAAAATTTTTCCTTAGAATATGTTTCTTAAGCTACCTTTATGGCTTTAATTCTTAGGCTGTAAATCACTGGATTTAGGATCGGGGGAACAATTGTGTACATAATAGTGAAAAAAAATCCAGTGAACTTGGAGAGACAGAAGGTGGCTTGAGAGACTCAAAAGAGGCTGTTGAAATGAATAAAATGACAAGAGCGAGGTGAGAATGACAAGAGCGAGGTGAGGAAGACAAGTAAAAAAGGCCTTAGCTCTGCCCTCAGCAGATGGCATCCTCAGCACAGTAGAGAATAACCGTGCATAGGACAGACCAATAAAGGTGACACAAAGAAAGTCCATAAGACCCACAAAGTCAGTGACTCCAATATCACTGATATATTCATTAGAACAAGAGAGTTTCAGGACCTGGGGGCTATCACAGAAGAATTGGTGAATCTGGTAACCACAGAAGTGCATGGAGAAAGTGGCAGCTGTGTGTATGGCTCCAGAAATGACCCCACTGATCCAGATGCGTAAGACTCCGTGGACACATTTGCTGACATCCAAGATGATTTCGTAGTGCAGTGGAAGGCAGATAGCCATGTAGTGATCATAAGACATCACTGTGAGCATGGACAGCTCAAAAGCAGCACAGAGAGTGAAAGCAAAGCACTGCACTATGCATTCCCCAAGGGAAATGTAGCCACTGTGCATGAAAGAATTGAAAATGGACCTTGGCAGTCACCAAAATGTAGCACAGATCCAGAAAGGAGAGATGTTTCAGGAAGAAATACATGGGTGAATGGAGACTACCGTCCATGGAAGTTGCAGTGATAATGAGGATATTGCCTGTTAACGCCACCACGAATAAGACTATGAACAGAGAAGCAAGTAAGATTTCCACCTCAGGTTTGGCAGAAATCCCATCAGAAGAAACCCAATCACAGTGAAATTAGCTATAGTCCTTCTTAATCTGCCAGTGATGTTTGCTGCAAAACAATGGGAACCATTTGAAATGGAATGAATCACAGGTGCTATGTGTATGGAGACTACACATGAGGGAGGAATAAAACACTGTCCAAAAATTAACAATTTCATTAGAAAATAAATATTAAAAAATAAAATTACTGCAACAGCAAAATTTTGACAGATTCTAAAATTATAATTAAATAGTTACTTCATAATATATTTATATGTTCTTGAAAATTATCTGTATCTGTATGACATATCTTTTGTGATGTGGATCTAACCTCTATTTACACAACATAAAACTAACATTTTTTAAACATCTTGTACTTTAAAGAATCTTTACTAACAATCTAAAATAGAACATTTATCATAACAATCTTAAACTAATTTAAAATTAATTCACTAATATTAAAATTATTCTCATCTTTGTAATTAACTCCTTTTATTCTGAAGATTCTTGCTTTCATAAAACCTGCTATCATCTGAGATGTTTCTTTTTTTATTATTTTTAAACAATGTTTGCTTCCCCTCTCCCACTCAGATTGAGTCCCCATAGAATTTCCTTCCCCAAGGCACCCATGCACCATCACCACAGTCCCCTGTGCTCCTCCTTCCCTCCCTCTGATCCAGTCCCTCCTCCTCCCCTGCAGGATGTCTCTGATTTATAATCGTCTGTTTTTGCTTTGTTGTGTTTTGTGCTGTTATTATTTTTTTTACACTGATGTCTTATTTGGTTCCCCTATATTCCTGTTATAAGTGAAACCATCCAATATTTTTCTTTTTCCTTCTGGCTTATTTCACTGGGCATAATCCCTTCTAGCTCTATCCACATTTATCTGCGAACGGCATGAGTTTATCTTTTTTGATTGCTGAATAATATTCCATTGTGTATATATACCACATCTTCTTGATCCAGTCATCTATTTTTGGGCATTTGAGTTGTTTCCAGGTTTTACCTATTGTAAATAGTGCTACAATAAACATAGCTGTACAGGTGTTCTTTGGAATCAATGTTTTTGTGTCCTTTGGGTAGATCCCTAGGAGTGGAATTGCCAGGTCATATGGTAGCTCCATTTTTAGTAGACTGAGGAACCTCCAGACAGACTTCCACAGTGGCTGGACCAGTTTGCTCTCCCACCAGCAATGTCGGAGCATTCCCTTTGCACCACATCCTCGCCAACATTTGTTGTTGCTTGTTTTTTTTTTTTTTTGATATGTGCCATTCTTACTGGTGTCAGGTGATATCTCAATGTGGTTTTAATTTGCATTTCCCTGATTATAAGGGATGTTGAATGTTTTTTCATATGCCTGTTGGCCATTTGCATTTCCTCTTTGGAGAAATGTCTTTTAAGTTCTTCTGCCCATTTCTTGACCTGATTGTTTATTTTGTTTTTGTTGAGCCATGTGAGTTCTTTGTGTATCTTTGTGATCAGTCCCTTATCAGTTGAATGGAAGGCAAAGTTTTTTTTCCAATAAGTGGGGTGTCTCTGTGTTTTGGTTAATGTCTCTTTTGCTGTGTAGAAGCTTTTCAGTTTGATGTAATCCCAAGTGTTTATCTTTGCCTTCACTGTCACTGCTTTGGGTGATGAGTCTTTAAAGATGTTCCTGAGATGTATGTCTTCTAGTGTTTTACCTATATTCTCTTTGATATGTTTTATGGTTTCAGATCTTTACGTCCAGTTCTTTTATCCATTTTACATTGATTTTTGTGCACAGTGAGAGGTAGTGGTCTAGTTTCATTTTTTTGTATGTTGAGGTCCAGTTTTCCCAGCACCATTTATTGAACAAACTGTCCATGTTCCAATGTATATTCTTTGCTCCTTTGTCAAATATTAGTTGTTCATATAAGTGTGGCTTTATTTCTGGGCTCTCTATTTGATTCCATTCGTCTATGTGTCTGTTTTTGTTCTATTGCCAAGCTGTTTTAATTATTATGGCTTTGTAGTATAGCTTGAAGTTTGGAAGTGTGATATTTCCTTTCTCCTTTGTTTTCATCAATAGGGCTTTGGCTATTCATGGTTTTTTGTGGTTCCATATGAATTTCATAAGTATTTGTTCTATTTCTTTGAAGATGTCATTGGAATTTTTGTGGAATATCAAAGAATCTGTAGATTGCTTTTGAGAAGATGAACATTTTAATAATGTTAATCTTTCCAATCCATGAGCAGGGGATTTCTTTCCATTTCTTTGTGTCCTCTTCAGTTTCTTTTAATAGCATTTTATAATTTTGTTTGTATAGGTCTTTCACCTCTTTTGTTACGTTTATTCCCAAGTATTTGATTTTTTTGGTGTCATTTATAAAAGGGTTGGTTTTCTTGATTTCTTCATCAGATTGTTTGTGTATAGGAAGACTACTGATTTTCGTGTGTTGATTTTGTATCCTGCTACTTTACTGAACTGGTTGATTATATTGAGTAGTTTTTCTGTGGAGTTTTTGGGGTTCTTTATGCATATTATCATATCATATGCAAATAAAAACTAACATGTTATAAACACTTAGGGTTCTCAGGTTATGTGAATGCATAAGAAAGGAATAAGCAGAGATAAGGAGTAAAAGGAATAAGTAACTAATAATTTTCAAAAATAATTGACCATTCACAAGTCCATCCAAGAATTTTCTTTAACTCAGATTTTTGCCTATGAATTAGAATAAATAACAAGGCAAGAATGTCAGATTAAGACAAGAAGCATGATTCATATTATACTCTTTCAATCTTTATCTATGTTTTTTTAATCCTTATTTTGTGCAGATAGAAAATGTAGTTTTTTTTTCCCTTACTAAAATATTTGATCCATTCTCAATTGATAAATTTTCCTAGCATGTTTCCACAATTTACCTGTGATTTTTGATATGGAAAACATCTCACATCTCTATTAAGTTATTATTATAGGATTCAATGTACAATATGAACAGAAGGAAATTTCACACTGCATTTCTTCTATGTCATTATAGAAAGAAAAGCAAGGGTGGGGAGAAGGTAATTACATGCCATAAATGATTCAGCATGTAAGGAGTTTACATTGTTCTCTCCCAGATTCCTAATTTCCATTGAAATAATATAGCTCATCCATATTATTTCATGTCTTACAAGTTCGATGTTAGTGGCTCGTTCTCTGTCTCACTCAAAAAAAACAATTTATGGGTTTTCCACTATTGTGTATAATCTATGTTTTTATGAAACTCACCAGAGCATATTCAAGAACATACTCACTCCATAGAAAGAGATGCTGTCAGTGTGAGCAGTTGACAGCTCAAATTGTGATCTCTACAAATCAGTCACATTCAAAAAAATCTGAATTGTGGAGGAAAAATCAGTCCATTTCAATCCTTTCTTTGGCCTCTGAAAGTTCAGTTATGAAATCTTTTTGGCATAAGCAGAGTTTGTTTGTGCCCTGGGTATTTGGTGCTCTTGATTAATATCATGGGGCCAAAACCTGCAATTATATGTATCGTTCCCCAAGAGTATTTTTCAGTTGGGCTGACTTAATGATCATACATAGTTACCTGGAATTTCAACTAATTTGTGTTTATTGTATCAAATTATTGAAAATAATAGTATAATGTGATAGATTCAAAGATACCCCCAAAAAAGACTTCATTTAGTTCCATTAAATGAGTAAAGAAGTCATTCATTTAATTTTAAATGCATAATATTACAAAATCTAATAAACATCCCCATCTTCTGAAAGGTGTACATACCATTCGGCTTCTATTAATGAAGCAACAAATTACTCCCTAAACTTATGCCACAAATTGACAATTAAATTTCACTTGAGTGAGGAAGTAACAAATTACAAATTATTTTTTGGCCAGTTATACATTAATTTTTTCACCTTTTAAGTCCAACTGAGTTATATCTGATCCAAGTAACATTCAAAAATCAAACATGTATCTTTTTGAAAACACATACTTGCTCTTAAATGAAATAAAGTGAAAAGTACTGTGATAAGAAATATTCATCAACCAGAAAGGAATTTAGTTCCAGAACAGGGCAATCTTGGATAAAAAAATATGAGGGGTGGTTTTTATAGTATTTTTGTGTGTGCTTAGTTTATTTATTTATTTGTTTGTTTGTTTGTTTATCATGTTCTTATTTCATTGTCCATTTTTTTTGTGCAATATTTGATTTTTCCCCTTAGATGTAGTCCCCATAATTCTCCACCATCACATCACCTGTCTACCATCCCCATAGTCCCCTGTGTTCTTCCCTCCCCTGTTTCTACCAATTTTATACCCCTTCCCCTGCATATGCAACAGGTCTATGGTTTGCCTGTGAGTTTTGATTTCCCCTGTTTTTTTGTTATGTTTACCTATATCCCCTCATAAGTGAGACCATCCAATATTTTCCTCTTTTCTTCTGACTTATTTTGCTCAGCATAATCCCTTCCAGCTCCAACCATGTTGTCACAAATAGCATGAGTTTATCTGTTTTGATTGCTGAGTAGTATTCCATTTTGTATATATTCCACACCTACTGGATACATTCATCTGTTTTAGGGCATTTAGGTTATTAACATATCTTAGCTATTATAAATAGCACTGCAATGAAAATAGGAGTGGAGGTTTCCCTTTTGCACTTTTATGAAGTTATTTCTTTAATGATTTATTCCCTTCTCTTTTTATTCACACTTTGACACTGAATATAGGGCACCTGTTTTTCTCAACACTTCACAGCTCTTAAGTCAGACATAGAACCAGGTCCCAGGTTACCATTTCCTCCCATGAGGATGGCTCTACTGGACACCACCTGAATGTCCAGGCCCTTACATGTCTGATCTACAAGCTATTTTTAGGGATTCTACTTCTTCCCTTAAATAATATTCTAGAGTAGCTCACAGAACTCAGAATGGTCTATTTCTAACTCTTCTATTAGAAAAAAAACACAAGTAAGAAATATAAAGATGCAGAGCAAGATTAGGAAGGAGAGCAGAATTTCCTTGCCTTCCTTGTCAGACCATCTTCCCAGCACCTCCTTGGGTTCTACACCTAAGAACTCTCCGAATCTCTGCTGTTTAAGGTTCATTTTGGCCACTTTACATAGACAAGATTGTTTAAACTATTGGTTATTGGCAATTAGTTCACCTTCAATTTCCTTCTCTTCAGAGTTCAGAGTTAGGACTGAATGGCTCACATTCTAATCATACAGTTGTTCTCTAGCAAACAAAGACCATCCAAAATTTACTTAAGTGCCCACAATGAGTCAAATCATCAACATAAATGAGTCATATTATCAATGTAAAGTGTGATGTGTTGAAAAGAACTCCTGAAGAACAAGATGCTCTTCCCACTCTATCACTCAGGGAATGACATGGGTTGGGCAAACTGCAATAGGAACAGAGGACTAAAACCAGTACATATATCTAATTATGTAACATTATCACAGATTGATGATGGAGTTACCATATACACATTTATGTTTCTTACCACAAAGACAGTTTCACATTTATGCTAACTGATTTGTGATATAACTCTATGTGTGTTCAATCAATATTGTAATTTCAGCAATATATTATTATACATTATCAATTTACATAATTATGTTACAGCAATTTTCCAGACAAATCAGGCTGCCCTCAGAGAGGTAGAGGCAAGAGATTTATTTGTCACACAGGCAGGCTCGGTGGGATAGCTCCCAAAAGTGTCAGCCCACAATCCCAGGAATGGTCAGGTTTAATACAGTTTGTATGTGGAAGCTTGTCAGCCCATCCATCATAGACTTTCTTTATTTTGGGGATGGGAGTCAATGTCGCCAGAGCTATGACTGTGGGCAAACAGCACCCCACAGGAACTTTCCTCTCCAGCATGCAGCAGAATCCAAGTAACAGACTCCAAGCAGCACACTTAGCAACTTCCTACAGTATATATGAACATTTTGATGAACTAAGAAAGGAGACCATGCAGACATGTATAGCTTTTGTTATCATCATCTGCAGTGGTAGAACTGCCAATGAAGTTCTCTGCCATTAACAAAGAGTCAGAATCTGAAAGAATTTGCAATGGGGTAAGGCTGCGGAAAGTGCCATCAAGAGCAGTTCTGCCTTTTACTCTCCCAGCCGAAGTTTTTATTAAAGATATGAACAAATTAACAAGAAAATAGCACTCAATTGTGGTTTTGCTTATACAGATTAATAAGTTACTGCTGAAAACAAGTTTTCCTGGTTAGTGGGGAACATGCACAGAAGCCAGTACATCCTCAGAGAACAGGAGTCAATTATAGGAAGAAGTTCTGTTTGCAGAACTTCCAATGTCCTGGAACTCCATATGCAGAGAAAACAGGTATTCTCTAAAAACTCCAGCTCCCTTTAGGTCAGCAGGCTCCCAACTGTCACCTTACTTGTCATTTATGCTACTTTTCCTTTCTTCCTATTGATTCAATTTCCCATTGTTTCCCTAGCCTCATAAACTCTGCTTCCACTCATCCTCCTAGAGCTATCATTAGCAAAGATATTGTTTTTCCATGTGTTCTAAAACTGACAACACATTATATACCTTTAGTTTTATAGGACTGCTATCAAGGTAGTTAAAGAAGTAAGGAAGAAATATCCAGTTGTATTGACATTTTTAAAATCAAAACCTATCGGTTAAACAAGCATGTCTTAAAGAATGCAATCAAAGCGCAATTTTAACTTGTGTCTTACAAAACTATTTGTTTATTTGAAAAAGAAATCTCAAAAACACAGAGCAGTCCAAGGTTAGTACACTGAACTTTTTTCTTTTCCTTTTTCCCCCCCACCACCAATGTTTGTGTCCCCTGGCCTTTCCCCTCCCCACTCTCTCTTTAAGCTCAGACCCCTCAAGATATTTGTTGATGTCCAGGAATTTTTAAAGAGTTTTATGTTGTCCAATTATCTCTTACATGAATATTCAATATTGTTTTTATAATTCTGATTAGTACTGCTGCATGTAATTTTTTCAAATTCCCTCCATTTGGTTGGAAATTATTGCATTGTATTCTTCAGAGAATACGTAATGTTGACCTGATGGGATTTTCTTTATAATCACCAACTCTTTTGCCTAGTTAATCTTACTATTGTTTCTTTATCCTGAACTCTTGATAGTTTCATGAATATATGCTTAGTGTAGTTCTCATTACATTTAGATAATCAGGAGTTCCTTTAGCTTTGTGAACTTATATATTTACTTCCTTCCCAGGTTTATGAAGTTTTCCTCTATATTTTATTTTTTTAAGATTTATTTATTTATTTATACAAGAACCGGGTACAGGCTATATGCAGGGGAGGGTGAGAGGATTCACCAGAGACAGAACCGGGAACAGAACAGGTAGTCTGACGAAATACACTGTTGAGGGGAGCAGCGGGCACGACAGGAGAGGTCTGCCACACCATGTGGGCCCCTCCCCGCCGGTGGGGATCGAACCGGCACTGCAGAGGCTGCGGACAGCTTCACAGCATGGCGCTCAAGCACCTGCGACACCAGGGGAGGCCCTCTTCTGTACTTTATAAATATGTTCTCTTCCTTTCTGTTTTCCATTCTTGCATTGCTATATCCTATGTTGCCTATTCCAATGGACTGAGAGGTCTCCACAACATTGTTTACATGGCCATCTTACCTAAAGTCATGTACACATTCAATGTAATTCCTACCAAAAAAAAAATGGCATTTTTCACAGAAATTGAACAAATGAAATTTGTATGGAACCACAAAATCCATGGCAATACTAAGGGGGGAAAGCAAATATGGAAGTACCACCTCCTTGATATCAAACAGTGTAAAGCTACAGTAACAACAGGCACATGAATCCAAGGAACAGCATAAAGAGCTCATAATATATGCACACTTATATCCCCAGCTAATTTAATACAAAAAGCCAAGAACCTTAAAAGAAAATAGCAAAATGTCTTCAATAAACGGTGTTGCTAAAACTGAACAACCACCTGCAAAAAAGTTTTGATTATACCAGGGTATCACACCATACACAAAACCGTTTCAGACAAAAGAGTATTTAACAACAACAAAAAAAATCTGCATTCAACAAAAGAGGCCAGCTTTTCTTCTTTGGAATACCTTTCGTAGAGCAACATTTATGGCTTTATTTCTTAGGCTATATATCATTGGGTTGAGTGTTGGGGGCACAACTGTGTACATAACAGTGAGAAAAATGTCCAGTGCACTTGGAGAGTCAGAATGTGGCCTGAGAAACTCAAAGGATCCTGTTGAAATGAATAAAATAACGACAGCAAAGTGGGGAAGGCAAGTGGAAAAGGCCTTAGCTCTGCCCTCAGCAGATGGCATCCTCAGCACAGTAGAGAATATCTGGATGTAGGACAGTCCAATGAAGATGACACAAAGAAAGGTCATAAGAGCCACAAAGCCAGTGACTCCAATATCACTGATATACTCATTAGAACACGAGAGTTTCAGGACCTGAGGGACATCACAGAAGAACTGGTGAATCTGGTAACCACAGAAATGCATGGAAAAAGTGGCAGCTGTGTGCATGGATGCTGAAATAACCCCACTGATCCAGACGCCTAGGACTCCATGGACACATTTGCTGGCATCCATGATTAGTTCATAGTGCAGTGGAAAGCAAATGGCCACATAGCGATCATAAGACATCACTGTGAGCATGGACATCTCAGCAACAAGACAGAGAATGAAAGCAAAACACTGCACGATGCATTCCCCGAGGGAAATGTAGCCACTGTGCATGAAAGAGTTGTAAATGGACCTTGGCACAGTCGCAGAAATGTAGCACAGGTCCAGAAAGGAGAGATGTTTCAGGAAGAAATACATGGGTGAGTGGAGATTGTTGTCCATGGAAGTTGCCATGATGATGAGGAGATTCCCAGTTACTGCCACCATGTATAAGACTAAGAACAGAAAAGCAAGTAAGATTTCTACCTCAGGTTTGGCAGAAAATCCCATCAGAAGAAACCCATTCACAGTGAAATTAGCCATAGTCCTTCTTAATTAACCAATGTGTTCGCTGCAAAACAAGATGGTAACCATTTGAAATTTATGTCACTTAAGCACCTAACCTACCTTGGAGTCAACAAAAGTGGACATGAAGTTACTTGAAGAAATCATACTTCAAATGTGAAAGTTGTTCAGAAAATTTAAATTATATACACTCAGCCATGAAAGAATGGGTAAGGAAAAGGATAAATTTGATTATTCACTATTTCAATCAAAGGAAAGAGAAATGAAAATATTATATGTTTAGTTAATTTTTTTAATCTATGATCTTATAATTAGTAGTATGGTGCATTTTCTTTTGATTTATATTAAAAAGTTTTATACCTTCATACTCTCATGTTTATAAATGTTTCTTAGCTACTATTCTTTTTCATTAGCCATTCTATCTGCTCATATACCACTCCATTTGCAATGGATTCATTTTTGCAATTTTATCATTTCATTTTATACATTAGAGGAAAATATTCTCATGTTTTTATTCTACCTAACAATGTGAGTTCAATAAAGAAATTCAAAGTATAAATACCATGCTGTAGTGCCTATACAATATATAATATGTAGATAATGATTATCATTTACATAACATAATAAATATTGATCTGAAATAAATTCCAAAGGGAATGGATCTGAAATATGCTAAACAAATTTGAAGTTGCCATGATGATGAGGAGATTCCCTCCTTTATGGCTAAACAAATTTGAAATACAAATTTTGTACCCCCTGAAAATAGCTAACCATTTTAACCAAAATACTCATTGCTATTATTTATGAAGAAACACATAAACTGGTAACACACACCTGGAGATGGTGACTCTGGCCACTAATTCTTATATAATGTTATAAATCAAACGTACCGTAATAAAATTGATAAAATTAAAAATTAATGGATGTGATATGACCTTTGTAAAAATTAATGAAGAAATGAGCTTAAAACATGTATGTCATACATCAAATTTGTCCTACTTTCAGAGAAAGAGCAAATTTTTGAGCTAAGGATTTGAAAGTCTGCAACATTAAGGAAACTATGCTCATTTGAAATTAGTGCAGCACTATGGAGAACTATGTGTAGGTTCCTTAAAACACTAAAAATAGGGCCTCCCTGGTGGCATAGCTGTTAAGCGCTGGGTTGCGAAGCTGCCTGCAGCCTCTGTAATGCCAGTTCGATCCCCGGCTGCCCCCCAGCCTCCGGGGAAGGGTCCCACATGGCGCGCAGACCTCCCCTGCTGCCCGCTGCACCCCTCAGCAGTGTATCTCAGTCCCTCTGCCTGCTCTGCTCCCCGCTCTAGCTCTGGTGAATTCTCTCACCCTCCTGCGCTTCTGACTGTACCCAGTGCTTGTATAAATAAATAAATCTTTAAAAAATATAAAATAAAATAACACTAAAAATGGGGCTTCTATGGTGGTACAAGGGGTTAAGCACAGCACTATGAAGCTATCCACAGCCTCTGCAGCAAGAGTTCAATTCCCGGCCCTCCAGAGAAGTACCCACATGGCCCAGCAGACCTTTCCTGGCTCACCCGCTGCTCCCCTCAGCAGTGTTTTCAGTCAAGTTACCTGTTCTGTTCCCCACTCTGTCTCTGGTGTATCCTCTCACCCTCCCACATCTCTGGCCTAGACCCCAGTTCTTGTATGCATAAATAAATAAATCTTTAGAAAAAAAAAACTAAAAACAGATCTATTATATGATTCAGCAATTCCACTCCTAAGAATCTATCCAAAGAATACAAAAACTATAGGAAAACTGCACTCCTATGTTTTTTGAAGCACTGTTTACAATAACCAAGGTATAGAAATAACTTAAATGCCCCCAAACACATGAATGGATCAAGAAGATGTGGTGTGTATACAAACTGGAATACTACTTACTGATCAATAAGATAAACTCATACAGTTTGTGGCAACATGAGTGGAGCTGGAAGGGACTACACTAATCAAATAAGTTAGAAGGAAAGAGATAAATATCAAATGGTATCATTTTTATGTGAAATATAGAGAAACAGAACAGAAGTTCGGGATGAAGGCAGAACTTGCAAGCAGTCCACAGATTTGAGGCATATAGCAAGGGAAGGTGAAGTTGAGTTGGAAACATGGGAGAGAAGAGCACAAGGGACTTGGGGATGAATCACAGGTGCTATGTGTATGGAGACTACACATGAGGGGAGGAATAAAATAGTGCCCCAAAATTAACAATAATATAAGAAAATAAATAAATAAATAAATCTCAAAAAAATAAAATTAGTGCAGCAGCAAAAATGTTGGCAAATCCTAAACATGTAATTAAAAAGTTATTTCCATGATAATATTTTAGATATTCTTTAAAATTATCTGTATGAAATATCTTTTCTGATGTGGATATGACCACCATTTGGACAACATAAAAGTAGCAGATGTTATAAACATTTAATGTATTCAGGATATGTGAATACATAAGAATGGAATAAGCAGAGATAAGGAGTATAAGGAAATAAAACAAATAACAGTAATAATTTCTACATGGTGAGGGAATGATTGTGTTTATTACTAGTTTGATTTCTTAGTCTGTCTGGGGACACATAAGAAATTGATCCCTCCTTTTGGTTTTTCAGCAAGAACATCAATGTTGCACCTGAAAATTTACTTAAAGCCGAGGGTAGTACTTACTACTTCTGTAATGAACTGTGTAACTTCACTGGGAAATTGTTTAAGTCTGATATTGGTAGGGAGGACATGGCAATGATAGAGTCCCTTGCACACAAAAGTAAAACTTATTTGAAAATTGTTTCAGCCTTACTGTGGCGTGTGTGTTTGCATGTGTGCACATGTATGTGTGGACTGGTCACCCTGGACTGTAAAAATACTGTTAAATTAGGGCCTCCCCGGTGGCGCAGCGGTTGAGCGCTGGGTTGCGAAGCTGCCTGCGGCCTCTGCGGCGCCGGTTCGATCCCCGGCTGCTCCCCGGCCACCGGAGGAGGATCCCACATGGTGCGCAGACCTCTCCTGCCACCCGCTGCTCCCCTCAGCAATGTACTTCAGTCCTTCTGCCTGCTCTGCTCCCCACTCTGGCTCTGGTGAATTCTCTCACCCTCCCGCGCTTCTGACTGTACCCAGTGCATGTATAAACAAAAACAAACAAACAAATATAATAAATAAATAAACATGCCTCTATAAAAAAAAAAAAAAAAAAATACTGTTAAATTAAACCAAGTAACTTCATATTTAAACAATATTAAAGAGATACTCTGAAGGTGACACCTGACATTTACTCATTTAGGCAGGTAAGATTTATTGAAACTCCAGAAATTTCTATGTCTAGGAGAATGCTGCTTATTTTCTATTTGGGTAAACAACAAAAATGTCTCCATCCATATGCATGGAAATAGTATTTGATTTACCCAAAAGTATTTCAGTTGGTCTTCCATTACTTTAAATCTACTCCTGTCAATAATTAAGACAGTAGCCGTATAATGGGATTAAATGCAATTTATGTTTTCACCTTTAAAACTTAATATAGGGCCTCCCCTGTGGCACAAGGGTTAAGCACAGCACTATGAAGCTATCTGCGGCCTCTGCAGCATGAGTTCGATCCCCGGCCAGGGAGATACCCACATGGCGCAGGTGACCTCCTCTGTCTCACCCACTGCTCTCGTCAGCAGTGTATTTCTGTCAATCTGCCTGTTCTGTTCCCCACTCTGTCTCTGGCAAATCCTCTCACCTCCCACACCTCTGGCCTGCATCCCAGATCTTGCATGCATAAATAAATAAATATTTAAAAGAAAACTTCTATATTGTTTCTCTCTCAAAATAAATTAATGCATTTTAATGCAATTGTGTGTCTCTGTTAGTATGCAAAACCAACTTTGTCACATTATATGTTGTAAGTATCTATATCACTTACTTAATATACCATTGCATTAACTGTTTGTGATACCAAGTAAAGAAGCAGGAAATAATGAAGGGACTTACCTGTCTCGTTTTTAGTTTTTAAATATAAATTTAGGATCTTTGTCTTTTTTGATGAGCATCAATTTGTGAACACAACGATGGACATTTGTTCTTCAATGAAATTATTTCTCTTACTGTTCATTAGAATTTTTAACTCTACTATTTTGTTGTCTCCAAATCATTTGCTGTGCTACAATAAAGGGGAATTCAATATCCACATCTTTATCACAGTTTTAGGTGAATATTAATGTTATTGAACAATGTTTAATATTTACATGGATATAATGTTTTTAAAAGATAACAAAACTATTTTCTAAATGCCTTAAGATATATTACATGATTTTTACCAGTTATTTTTGTGGTCAAACTTTTCTCAGCCTTTCCAAAAATTGACCATTCACAAGTCCATCCCAGAATTTTCTTTCACTCAGATTTTCCCTATGAATTAGAATGAATAAGAAGGCAAGACTGTCTGGTTAAGACAAGAAGCATGTCTCTTAATTTACTCTTTCTGTTTACCCACCCCCTCAGGTGTAGTCCCTATAAATCTTTCAGTCTTTATCTATGTTTGTTTTGATCCTTATTTTGTGCAGCTAGAAAATGTAGTTATTTTGCTCTTACTAAAATATTTGATCCATTCTCAATTGATAAATTTTCCTACCATGTTTCAACGATTTACCTGTGATTTTTGATATGGAAAACATCTCACATCTCTATTAAGTCACTATTATAAGAGTCAATGTATAATATAAATAGAAGGAAAATTCACACTGAATTTCTTCTATATCATAATAGAAAGAAAAGCAAGGGTAGGGAGGAGGTAATTTCACTCCATAAATGATTCCAGCATGTAAGGAGTTTACAGTGTTCTCTCTGATTCCTAATTTCCACTAAAATATTCATAGCTCATCCATATTATTTTGTGTCTTACAAGTTGAATGATAGTGACTGGTTCTCTCACTCACTCAAAATAAGTAATTTATGTGTTTTCCATTATTCTGTATAATCTATGTTTTTATGAAACGCATCAAAGCATATTCAAATTCCCTCCATAGAAAGAA